CAGTTGCTGCCAGCTGCTCCAGCCTCCTGGGGGCCAGCTAAGTACGTTGGGTGGAGAAGCACCCAAGGGGATCCTTCCTTCTGGCTCCTCTGCCACCTGAGGAACTACTCCCTATCCCTCACAGGTGAGAGATCCCAATCCACCCCCTGGCTGTGCGTGCCAGGAAAGTTGCAAACCATCTGTATCAGCTGCAGCAGCTTTCCCCACATCCCTGCATTGCTCCAGGTGCCTTGGATGCTTGCAGAAGCACCTGCAGAAGTGTCCCACAACCCAACCCTGCCTTTCCCCTTCCACTGCCACCAGCAGCACAGGTGATTGTTTCAAGGCAAGCCATGTCCTAAACTCCACCTAGTGAATCACCACCCCACTAAGAGCAATCTAAGAGATCTGCACACAGCCAGCCCAGGAGCTTGCAAAGAAACCCAAACTCCCCTCTTTTTGCATTGTATTGCATTGCATTGCTTTGCGCAACCCAGCGCTCCTGCCTACCTGTTTGCTGGGGTGCCCATGTTTTGGCAGTGCTGAGTGAGGAGCTGCCTCCCGGCAGGGTTTCCAGGACTGCAGCTCCAAACATGCACAGCTGTGCACAGGATGAGAGCAGGTTTATCTGCCCACTGCCAGCTGTTTTCTCCTGGCAGTAGCCCCTAGCTGTGGGGAATTCTTGCTGCAGCCGCTGGGGACATATGACAAGGGAGCCAGCCTCTGCCACCACTGCCTTGGACCCCCTTGATTGCAGGGGTCCAGCCCCCCTCCCATTTGGGGGGTCTGAGTATGCACGAATGCACTCAGCACCCCCCAAACAATTTTTTTTCTTCAGCCTATAGTGATACCCCAGGACCAGGAACCTCCTGTCATCCCCATAGTTCTTGTCCTATACCTCCTGAGTGTTATGCAAGTAGCAGCCATGCAATGTTCCCCCTTCAGCTCCTTGCAACAAACTGCTATTTCTGCTACTCAGGGCCTGCTCTTATATCAGGCAGCTGGTCCCACTTCCCAATCAGGCAAGCTTCTGGTGGCCATGTGACTCCTGATTGGGAGGCTGATCTCCTGACTGTTCTAGTGCTTTAAGTGGCAGGCACCAAAGGTGCCCTACCACACCACCTTAGGGGTGTTTTTGCTCAGGACCACTGGTCTCTGAGAGTGTTCCCCAAAGCCAGCCCAGGGGTGGTTTCTAGAATGGGAGGAGGGGGGAGTGGAAGCAGTTTCTTTCCCACCTTCTCACTTTGGCCTTTCAGTACCTCATACTCCCTGGTTCTCCATGGCCCTGACTGTTGATAGAAATATCATCAAACCAAAGCAGATCAGCAGTGGCAAGACACGTCCCTCCACAACTGATCTGCTTTACTGGGTGACACACATGTTGCCCCTTGTCCTGCATGGGGTCCCCTGCCCAATGCAGGACAAGGAGCAATGTAAACCCACTGCCCAGGTATTCCCTGGATTCCTTGCTGCCCAATGGCAGCTCTTGCATTGACCTGTGCCTCCCCAGTGCCTCCCCAGTGCCCTGTGCCTCCATGTAGGGACCCCTGCTGTTCTGTGTTTGTGAAGCATGGGCCAGTATGGATCCTAGCAAGGAGGTGCAGGGCACCAGGGACTCCCTCGTATCCGTGCTTCCCTATGCTGGAACCCACACTGACCCTTCCTCTATGACCCTGCTCAGGCAGTGGCATAGGTCAGCATGTGTCCTGGTGTGGAGGCACAGGGTGGAATGGGAGCTGGGGAATTCCCAGGCCCCTACACTGACCTGTGCCTCTACATGTGGCACAGGGCAATTCAAGTCCCAGCATGGAGGGCCAGGGTCATGCAGGTCCCAGTATGGAGGCATAGGGTGCCTGTGATTTTCTGGGTCCTTTGCTTCCATGGTAGGACCTGTGTGGGCTTCCCCTGCTTGTGGAGACATGCCCCTGGGGCACTTCCGTAAGTGGGGAAAGCCAGACAGGTGTTCAAGAGGCTTGAGTACACAGAATCAGGCCCCTCAAGCTTCTGGAGCCCAGGGTGACACGAGAGTACAAGCACCCCAGAGTTGCCCACAGTGTGCTGCCACAGACCAAATAGACATTGGCTTCAATAAAGGGGCACAATTTGTTAGTACCTTTTTTGTCATTCTATTGATGTGAACATAACTATTGTTATGGCAGCACAAATGCAACATCAGGCAATGTCAGTTTCTACCCAAAGAGCTGAAAATCCTGAGAGATGGACTTTACTTCTTGTTGG